CACTTCTGAGACTGAAGGCGGCTCCATATTTACGGTCCACCTTTCTGTTGAAGGCCGGGTTTCTGGATTGGGGTTAGCAGGTGGCCAGCTGAATTGTTGTTCGAAGTACTGTGCCCAGCGATCTGAACATTCCGCTTTGCTGCATATCAGGGAGCCATTTTGGTCCCAGATTATTTCACTGACAAGAGGTTTCCGAGGACCAGTCGAACGAATCAAGTGGAACCATTTGCGCCGTGTATATTATTGCATGCTGTTCGGCCATAAATGAGCTACATGGGATGACAAGCGTTGGATCCTCTATCGAAGTACTAAGTCGAACCTGTCTCCCCGCAACAGAATATGCCACATCGCCCCCTGGATCGATTCCCGTTGGTGTGGAGGTCACAAAGCACATTGTCGGTACTAGTATCTTAGATCAAGAATCTGTTATTAATATGCAAGCGGCTCTTTATCGCTATGCTTCCCATGGTCGTCTACACAAACGACTTGGAGATCCACATTACAAATCAAGCTGCCGATCACGGAGTACTGGCGTCCGGTCAAATTCTTCGCCATCCAACAAGCCCACTTCCACAATAAGGTCAAATGATTTTCTCACAGTACTCAAGGTTGGACTTCCGGATCAATCACAAAGTGCAGGGTTAACATCTCCAATCTCACAAACACATCTTTCGTTTCTACAAAACCCACTGAAGCCCACACTATGTCACCATCTCCGGCAGCCAGACCGCTACCCACGTTCTACAAGCGTGTAAGTTTCCTACTTGTCTTAACTCCGCCTTTTGCGCGTAACAATTAATAGTTCTAAAATGTGTAATGATCATTAATCTTGCTTGTTGTTTACTGTATCTTTGCAGTGTATCGCTTGTAATGTGCGCTCCCACATTGTTCTTGTGGTTCCACGCAGAAACTGTGACCAGCCATACTGTCTTGGAATCCCGCGACACCCAAGAGTTGAGCCTGATTACACCTTTGCCATGCCCGTGAATTTGCTGAAAGCTGGGGTCCCGCGTCAATTTGGGCATCAATTTAGAGCGAAAAAACTCACAGATTAGAAACTTGTTTCGAATGTTGAATGCCCAATACATCTTGGTTTGAAAGGACAAGGGTTGAAGATAGGGAAGTGTAAAAGTGGAAGGGGTCGCAATGTCTGCCCATCCCGAGAAAGAGTGAAAAAGTTGGCTATTCGGAAGCAATGATGGGTTTCACAATTGCGGGTTATTATGGACTGAGGATAAAAGTACACGAGCCGCGGTAATGGCTTTAGAAATGACGGTGAGCTTGTATTTGGTCTGTGTGCAGGAGCCTGAGAGATAGCAGTCGGCGACGGGGAGCTTTCTCCCATTTTCGATTACACTAGGATCATTTGCGCATTAAGTTGAAACTTAATACCTCCTCAGCTCTCATAAACTGTAGCCTCTTGAAGCACCGCTAATATATCTGCAGGTGGACGAAGGAAGACCGTTGGCAGAAGGGAATGGTGATTCTGAAAAACCTGAACGCTACCCGTTTTTAAGGATGCTTTCTACAATATCTTTCACGTGCTTGGTTTCGGGGATATGTTCGGTAACAGACATGCCAGATTCTTCTATCAAGGTTATCTGGATGTGTGTGTCCATCTGATGTTTATGGTAGCCTAAAAATAGACCCCGCTCTTCTCTCTTGTTATTTTCATCATTGTGGGGCCTTATCCAACTACCATGACTGCACTACTCGACCAGTAGTAACAATTATTAATAACTAATCGTTCGTCCGCACCATTTCAGTGCACAACTGCCCTGTAGGCCTCTTTAAGCTACCTAAATAATTATACCGCACGGTTTGGCTTGCGCTTCACACCCGCAAAGAGTAAAATGCTGCTACGGGACTGCACTGGATCAAAACCAAATCTCATGCTCGCAAATGAGCCAATCTGCGTGGTAGGTAAGTTTGTTCGCCTGGGTAGTTGTGTTAGTTCCGGTGGACTGGCTGGAGATGAGATGACATCCGGAATCGGAAGGCCAGGACTGCTTTTGCCAACCTACGAAACCTATGGCGCTGACATGAAGTCAGTTTGTCTGTCAGGAGCAGAGTTTACACTATGGTATTGCGATGCACACTGCTTTATGGAGCAAAAACATGGTCTCTACGCGCAAAAGATATGCGAAAGCTGCCAGTGTTTTACCATCGGTTTCTCCGAAGCATTCGTCAAGTTTGGTGGGAATATCGGATCGGTATGGCAGATGGTTTTAGGAAGAAGGAATACTTCCGCGGTAGATGAATTTCTCAAGCTTCATAGGTTACGCTCTCTAGGAGATGATTTCCGCATTCCAGAAGACCGTCCGCCTTGCAGAGCTGTTCTCGTCCAACAGTGTGCTGGGCGACCGACAGGTGGATGGTGCATGGCCTGGCAACAAAGTTTGGAAACACTAGCCCGTAAATTAAGTCGGGTCAGCAACTGTTGCCCTTACGGATGTGGGCCCCGGGACTCGACTCAACTGGCAGGAATTGCCCAATCGCGCAGTCAGTGAGGCTCGTGCGTCAAAGCTATCGACTTTGGTACGTAACTACCCGATTCCCGAACTAACTGAACATGCCATCGCCTGCAATGCTTGGCTGTGTCCTACACTCTCCCACTTTCCGTTGATCGAAAATGTAGCAGCTGGAATCAATGTACCCGTGACATACGTTTTATAACTGACAAATTGAAATGGATTGAATTGAATAACTATTGAGAGACCTGCGATGGCTGAGATACTGTCAGGGTGCCCAAACGAGCACTCAAGACACTCAGGCTGGGTTCGAACACCAGACCTTCCGGTCAGTAATTTCACACCTTAACCACTGAGCTACCTGGAGGTTGAAAAATCGTTCAGCCAAAACACCCTTTAGGTGCGTAGCTACCGTACCACCCTAAAGGAGCACAAGGTTTGAGATACTTTCAGGTTGCCTGGGCAAGATCAGTCGAGATGCCGGGAGTTGGTTCGAACCAGGTCTGTAAGTTCACGCCTTAACCACTGCGACATCACGGGCTCTTACTCATGGTGTGCCATGTGGTGAGTGGTGTGTGTTGGGAAAAAACGCGACCGAGAATCAATTAATGGCTTAATTCAGAATGATCGTAGTACGAGTAACGGCCGATTATCGCATCAGGTCTCACTACTGTTCTGGCTGTCGTCAACACACGTTTTTGGTGATCATAGGGAAATCGGTGTGCCGGTCAAGACGGATTGTGACCTGTTGTCACATCAGTGATGCGATGAGTGTTGTGTTGAGTTGTGCTCACTGGCATGCATTGGAATGCTTTATCGTTCTGCACTAACGCGCCTTCAGTGTATAGCTGCCATGCGACGCCGAAGGAAGCACGAGGCCCAAGATAATACCAGGTTGCCCAAACCTAGACAGCAACAGTCGAGATGCTGAGGTTGAATCCTAACCACGGACTCTCCAGCCACGAAGTGCGTGGCTTAACAACGAGGCTGTCCCTCTGGTGTCTTTCCCATTGGTGGTTATAAGTCGAAGCTGGAAAAGTCTTCTTCAGGTTACCAATCACCCAGATTGGAAATTAAGGTATCTTTTAGTGCATCGTATAACTCCAAGTAACATAATGAATTCCAGCTGCCGATCTTTAGAAGAGTGTTTCAGTGGTTACCAACGATGTTGGCGACAGGTGCTAAGGCTCCACGCCCTAAGACTAAGGCTGATCTGGGGGAGAGCTAAATGTCCCCAAATGTGTCGTCTATCACCTTCGGGGTTTTTGTAGGCATATTTTCAACTGCCCAAGGTTGGTCAGAGCTGTTTCCAATCGTTCTTTTTAAATTTTTGAATGGCCGATATTCAGACTGTCCGTACTTGTGCCCTGCTCAGTTATAAGTATACAACGGCGTGAATGTCATATACCCCTATTTTCACCACAAATCTCACTGGTTCAACAGGTATGCCAACTTACCTTCGTCTGCCACGTCGCCTTCTAGTCTATACTGTTCGTAACCAACGACTATTGTTATTTTAGGAAAGTTTGAAGTTATGGTGTAAACATTTAGCGCGGCTTCAGTAAATCTAGGTGTTCCTACTTTGAGCTCGAGATAGCTTAGTGGTTAAGGCGCGAACCCAGTGACCAGATGGTCCATGGTTCGAACTCAACCTCAGCATCTCAATTGTTCCTGTCTAGGACATTATCTGACATTATCTCAGCCCTTGTCACCCCTTCGGGTGGTATGGGAGCTTTGCACCGGAAGGGTGTTACAGCTGAATGATTATAATTACTATTGTTCGGACACTGTCCTAGGTTCCATACTAGAATGCCTCGTGTATAATTCTGAATATCGTACCAACTTCAACGTAAGCCAGACTTTGTGCGGCGCACTTAGTCATAAGCGACAGAAACAACTGAGCCATTCACCGGCCACTTGCAAGTGAGTATATTTCGCTAATTTCGTACAATTTAGACTCAAGTGGAACATGAATTTGACGGAGACTCGGGGACTGCGCTTACCTCATGAGCCACCCCCGAAAAAGACGAAACCAGTCGTGGGCTGTCGGATAGTTGTTAGCAGCCTTGTTATCAGTATGTTTCACCAAGGTCCTGTTCTACTTTCCCTAGTGACAGTAGGTTCTCTATAGGGAAGGCTTACTGCCTTACTGAACCGAACTTTGCGGTACATTGTCCTGAACCGGTTCATCAATTTGGTGGCTGGTGGGGTTGGGATTGCAAATTTAACTTTGTGCCTTGCCAATGACGTCAACGACTGTTCGTTTATTGCCTAGTTTAGCTGCGTTGAGGATGCCCCGATAGACAAGTCCCGTAAACTCTGAACAGTGTTTACTTTCGGACCCGCCTAACGATCACGGGTAGCTTTCGTCACCAAGGTCAATTTAAAGAAAAATTGAAACAGCCCCGCACGTTAGTTCTGTTCCGTAAACTCTGGGCTCGTATTCACTTCTGGATTCGCCTGTCACATCTGCTGCCCGTGCGCAGAGTGGGCACTGCCACACGCACTGTGCCCTCGTGTTTGTTTACTTTCGGATCCGCCTAACGATCACGGGTAGCTTTCGTCACCAAGGTCAATTTACAGAAAAATTGAATCAGCCCCGCACGTTAGTTCTGTTCTGTAAACTCTGGGCTCGTATTCACTTCCGGATTCGCCTGTCACATCTGCTACCCGTGCGCAGAGTGGGAAGTGCCACACGCACTGTGCACTGAACCAGGTGTTAACACAAGGGGGCGGTTCTAAAGCCACCAACCAGTCCATAATTGTCAATTCATTGCTGAGACTCAATATTCTGCGGCCAATAGGCAGGTGGTCCTCACCTTAGCTCAGACGCACCAGCGCAACATGCATGTGGTCCATGCAGGCATTTTTGTGTACCTAACGCTCCGCTAAAGCGGAGCATTTGTGGATCCATACGTCAAGTATGGATAAAAATGGAATTCTGTAAGATAATCTACAACAAAGCGAAACACAGTGCAACGCAACTAAAAAATAATATAATGATAAATGATACGTTGATGGATATGAAAGTTAGTATGATACAGCACATATATATTGTACACATGGAAAACCCAGGGACAGGTTCACGCATGAACCTCATAATTCGGCCATCTGATGATCGGAAAGAGAAGCTCTGTTGCGACGCAGGGTGTCCCGGCCTCAGGCAACCTTGTTAGGTAGGATATCCCTAGTTCTGCGGACTTCAGTAATAAGCCATTGGGAAATTCAGGAAGCCCTCTTGAATACGGAACGTCACCTATAGGAGTTCTTATCGTTTTCCTCCTATCCGAAAAGTTGGAAGTTTGAACTGTCCTCGAGACTCATGAATTATGCGCACTGGGGATGATTTCCAACAATCATGAAATGATTGAACAGTGCTTCTTAGTTTTTCTGCGCAGGTTTACTTAATGCCGCCAAACTTATTTCGCATTCGTCTTTTTTGGGATGTTACATGACGAATTCGTTTCCATCCTTTAGCCGAAGTTTCTGGCCACAGTGACTGATTTGAGACCATTTATTTTCACTGAAACCAAGTGGCTTACCTATCTGGCTCCAGCGGTCGTCCGACTTCTAGCTTGTGACTCCTCACTGTGATCCTTTTTCTTCATGTGGGTTTCTTCACAAACCAGTATCACCTTCAATTCTACCTCTATCACAGTGGCCATTTGGGTTGTTTGATTCGCAGTTGGAGACGACTTGCTAAAAAACCCAGCCCAAGACACCGAAGCCTTCCCACGCTTGTGGTTGAACCAACCGCTGATGTCCTGCTTGGCGATCGGCTATCGGGTGACGGGCAGACAGATGAAGAACGATCCACCCCAGGTTCATCTGAAGTCTGTCTAGGACATCCGTCTCCTATTAAGAAGATTCCGACGGGAAGCAACAAGTGTGGTCCCATACCGTCACCGACTGTCTGGTGGTTGGACGACGATACTGGTCGTGGCACCGGTAGCGGAACCGTCAATAGGAAAGCCATCTTTACCCTTGGTAAGTGTTGCACACAGTGTTTTTGTGTAGATCCTTGTGACATCACTTGCACAACCACTCCCTTGTACATCACTCGGGTTCTTTGTGTTATGCAATCCGTGACGGATCAAGTTTAGCTACTTTGATCATCCACTCAAGAGAAACTGCAACTCTGTGTACGAGCCGGAATCCCCCTTGAGCCAACGTGATGACCGGTTAACTGCAAGGGTGATGTTCCAAACGAGGGACAGACGATACTGCCCATATTTCGCATCAGTAACAAATACTACCACCCTGGTCTGTTCCAACGGTGTTTAGTCCGTTCAGTGAGTCATTCATAGTCCTTGTTGCCGTGTAATAAAGAGACAGCCAAAAGCAAGAGGAGTTTTCTCAACACTTGAATAGTAAGCTTGATTGTCATCCCCACTGACGGAAGCACTGGGATCACTAGGCTTGCTGATGCCATGTACGGGTGATAGCTACATGTAAATTGGTAGAGACCTCACCTGAACATGTTTCACGGTTTTCACGTTAGTGTGTAGTTTACACAGACACCTTTCCGGTCGGTTTCTATCCTTAAATTACAGATTATATGGCTTACAACTGAACAGTGGCCTCTAATCAGATAAAATATTCACATGGAACTAACTCCGAGCGCGTTGCCTCTACAAATGTCACTTCCTACGTCAGCTCAAGGAGCAACACGAGCCGTAAAGAAGCCACCGCCAGTCGAACACTTAATGATTACCAGATGATTACCACCACTCTGTGACATTGAAACACTCAACAGATACACAACCCAAATCACAGCACTAGTGACCGCTCACAAAGTGAATGCCCACACCTATGTGTGTTCATATGTTACAATGAACGCCCAACAGGATGAAGGGTAACCAGTATCGAATCAGCTGCATTTTTCGTAACACCCACGTAAGATGAACCTGGCAAACTGATTCTAGCAAAGCTTTTTCTTCTTCAGCAACTAAGTGAATGGAACGCTTCTCTTTTATCTTCAGCAACTAAGTGAATGGAACGCTTCCCTTTTGGTTATTAATCCACCAAATCCGTTACCTGGCTTGTTTTCTACAGACCCGGAAAATATCTGTGCCGCGGAACCCAATGAGGATGCGACAGAACACCTCCTTCTGCCAGGACGGTCTGGATTTGAAGACGAACTCGTTCGAGAGGTTGCCCACTTCGAGCTAACCGAGTTTCTGATTGGTGAACTAGAATTCTTAAATTCAATGTCCTTGATTCGATCGATATTTCCTGACGAACCAGCAATCGATGGTGACAAGGCAGCTACACCGCTTGGTACCGACTATTCAGTTTCCCTCAGTTCCTCAGCTCTCGATTATCAATCCAACCTACCCAGTGTACAGCCCTCTGAATCGAGTTTGGGATGGTTGACATACATTGAACCAACGGTACGTCAGCAGTCTACTACTCCTATCCCAAATTTGTCCTACTTTGTATCGCCTCGACCAATTATCACTTGTTGCAGCTGCTACCCTAAAAGAGAGGTATCTGATCCTTCATTTAAGTCAACAAAATACGGATTTCAAAGCGCACACACTTGCTAACAAAGAACATTCTCTCAGTCTCTGTTGGCCTCCTTATTTGTGCGTTTGAGCAAAAGGTTAGCATCCACATTATCACATATTATAGGGTAGATTGCGGAGATTCTCCATCATCATCATCGCCGTCATTGTCAGCTATGAGAACCGCGTACTTGCCATACAGTGGTTTTAACTGCCACAGTTTCGTTCACCGATGATTTGGAGAGGTTCGGTAGATATCTGCGCATTTGAGGCGAGCTGATAAATTAGTGCGTAAATACGGCACTGTCGGTGGACTGTCAAGTGAGGGGAATTGGGAATGGAGCTATGCATTGGAGGCAATAGCTTGGATGCACGAGCGCCATTGAGAGCGCGACTAAGCCATGTTTGATAATCTCTCTAAGCATTGATGCGGCCGTCTCGGATTCCCCATCCAGGAAGATGGCAATGACCAGTGTAGCTGAGTTTGCTGGTAATGGCTTTTATACTTCACTGCTTAGTCATTGTTTGACCACCTCTGGCTCTCTTCCAACCTTCGCGTAGTTTTGCGAAAAGAGCCCTCCGAGGAAGTCGGTCGACTGGCATACGCAGCACGTGGCCAAGCCGACCTATGCAGTGTGATCAGTTCATCTATCGAAGGTGAATTATTTCTGAATACCATTTTTGAATAACATTCCTCCGTAAGCATGAGCTAGGGTACGAGCTCACCCAGTCTTGCGGTAGCACTTTACACTTTGCAAGTGTGAGGGGCATGCCGAACCGTGAGGCGGAATTATCTTGATTATTTAATATTGTTTGCATTACCACGGCGTCAGATCCAAGAAGAGCTATGTCTTCTGCGTACTAGACATGTGTGAGCGGACGCCCAGCGAGCACTTCGACCCCGCAGATAATAGAGGCTTGTAGTGAGTCTCCCATGATCGTATGGATGATTTGGAGAGGTTCGGTAGATATCTGCGCATTTGAGGCGAGCTGATAAATTAGTGCGTAAATACGGCACTGTCGGTGGACTGTCAAGTGAGGGGAATTGGGAATGGAGCTATGCATTGGAGGCAATAGCTTGGATGCACGAGCGCCATTGAGAGCGCGACTAAGCCATGTTTGACAATTTCTCTAAGCATTGATGCGGCCGTCTCGGATTCCCCATCCAGGAAGATGGCAATGACCAGTGTAGCTGAGTTTGCTGGTAATGGCTTTTATACTTCACTGCTTAGTCATTGTTTGACCACCTCTGGCTCTCTTCCAACCTTCGCGTAGTTTTGCGAAAAGAGCCCTCCGAGGAAGTCGGTCGACTGGCATACGCAGCACGTGGCCAAGCCGACCTATGCAGTGTGATCAGTTCATCTATCGAAGGTGAATTATTTCTGAATACCATTTTTGAATAACATTCCTCCGTAAGCATGAGCTAGGGTACGAGCTCACCCAGTCTTGCGGTAGCACTTTACACTTTGCAAGTGTGAGGGGCATGCCGAACCGTGAGGCGGAATTATCTTGATTATTTAATTTTGTTTGCATTACCACGGCGTCAGATCCAAGAAGAGCTATGTCTTCTGCGTACTAGACATGTGTGAGCGGACGCCCAGCGAGCACTTCGACCCCGCAGATAATAGAGGCTTGTAGTGAGTCTCCCATGATCGTATGAATGACGAAGTTGAAGGGGAAAGGTGAAACAGGACAATCCTGTCTGACACCACTTGATGTGGTTAACTCAGGTGAGAGCTTCCCGTAGACCTTCACAAGGCCGCAGGAGTTAGCGTACAGCGCCTTAAGTAGGATCAAGGATTTATGGTGGGACACCTCTGCTCCACAGACACTGCCATGGTGCCTGACGGTCCACAGAATCACAGGCAGCTTTCAGATCAAGAAACACAACCATTGTTGGCTGCTGGAAGCAGTGTCGCTGCTCCAGAATTTGTCTAGGGGTGAAGATATGATCGATGCAACCTCTTGAAGGACGGAACCAAGCTTGGGCGCAAGATTTCGCCCAGCACTTTCACACAATCTAACAGAATTGTATTATTTGTCGAGATGGATGCAACCTCTCGCAGGACGGAACCAAGCTTGGGCGCAAGATTTCGCCCAGCACTTTCACACAATCTAACAGAATTGCATTATTTGTCCGAGATGGATATTTTGTCGGGTGGTCTGATCTTCAGGGTGCACGTCAGGCACCATCGATCCAATAGTTCCAGTTTGCGAGGTCGTATTATTCGCGAAGCTGCCAAGTTCCATAGCCTTAATTATGAACCGGACACGTTGCCGCTTTGAATACTCGAATTTATGTGCACAAGCTGATTTCGTTTCCCATCCTTGAAATCATTGTTTAGTCATCGGTGCAAATTCCAGTGTCTTTTTTTAGCTTGCCCGTTTAGTAGAATGACAGGACCGAAGTAGCGAACTGCTGTAATGTGTTCACTTTCATCGTATCCCGCACGAGTGGCTACCTGGAACATCCGCTTGTTGTTGTTGATCACCACTCCGATGAGCTTTGTACTTCAAGTGACTCGATCAACAACCGTTTGTAGGTATTGCATGCTTCCATCAAGTAAGAGAACGTATTCCGTGTCTGTAGTTTGAACGTTTCGGCCCAGTTGGACACTAGGGTATCAGTCCAGTGCTCATTGCGTCGTCTATCATTCACGAAGCTAAATCAGGGGCCAGTATTATATTCCAACTTCCTAAATGAGTAGTTTAAGGGACACCGCAACGTTAAGAACAAAGTTTTATTGCTCACCTTCCGGTTGTCGTCGGATGTAAAATCCTTTCTGTTAACGGAGACACGTGAGCGCCAGATTAGCATTCCTACGGGACGCCCAACTACCTTCACTGTTGACGCAGCTTGACCCATCACAGCACTTTAATCCGGATGGGTGAGCGGGACGTCTCAGGTTTACAATCAGAACTTACTGTTCCAACTATTCTTCAGATGATTTGCACTGTTTTCTGATACTGACCACTAACATACCGCACCATCGATTGCGCCCACAGACGGTACAACGATTTGTTCGCATTATCATTTTCATCACCGCTGACCGCATTACGGGTATTTGACGGTCGTAAACCGACTGTTTTTCTCGAATGTGACCGGTGGATACACTTCACCTGTGCATATTTTGTAGTATAGAAAAGTGTTGGATATTTAGCATAACAGGACTTTGGAGTGCATTTTCTCATGTCCGTCACTTTACTCGGCTCACTTTCCTCATCACTTTCCTGGGCTTTGTTGCAACAGACCTGTTGTTTTGCTATGCAGGATGAATTTATCCAGTATCATGGTTTCTTATGGAGATTCAGTCCTGTAAGCGAGGACTGGCAAACCAGGAACTGCACTACACTGGAAATCACCAGCAGCATTTAAACTACCAGGGGGGAGGTCACGGGTCCGAAAACCCCTAGAGTTTCGTGGAGTGTTTACTGCTTGTGATTCTCCATAAGAGTGAAAAAGTTATACAATGCTTCTTGGCTTTTCGTCATATAATAGCTCCACTTATAGGACAAAATCAGTGAAAATTCCAAAATCTCATCATACTACCAACAAATCATGATTTTTGTTATATTTATCTGATCATATCATTTAACCTCCCACGCAGCCAATACCTGGCATCAACTACGCCTATCCGACAGTCGAACAACTACAGGAAAGCACACGAATCTCCTCCCCGTTCGCAGACTTTTTCGGTGTAATTCAACAAGGCCTTCCAACCGAGCTCCCTGCCTCAGACCAATCGGCAGCCACAAAAGCCGCACCTGTTGATGTGGATCTCACGTCTTCAGAAGATCTTCAAGAAGATGACCTGTCGGATGCTTTGGTGGATTCCCTTCAGACGCGCTTCGTAACCACCGCTGGTGCTGAGCTAGTCACCTCATGCATGGAGTACTGCGCCGGACACCCATCGCACATGGCCTTTTTAAAACAACTGCACCAGTTGCTCATGCAAACGTGTGACGCAGATTGGGCGTTTCGTGACCGTTCCTCGACTTGGACGACAAAGCCAGACGCGAAACACTTGCTAACCGCTTCCACCCTGGTGCCCTCGGCTTCGGCTGTGATGCTGCTTTCTCGAGAAAAGTATGTTATTTGCTACGGGTTGTAGGGTGTACGTGTGTGTAGTATCGATAACTGTGTTTTCTAGACACTTGTTTTCCGGCGTACATTGGCTCTTATATCGATGGGACAGTGTTATAGACCCGACACCGCGTGTGAAAAGTTTTGATACCCCCACCAACGGTTTCACCCTTCTGGGGATACAAAGCAAATCTAGTTCTCGAGTTTACATCAACCTTGCTTCTTACTTGATTTTAGTTTTTCAAAACTTTCAAGGCCTGTTTCACATTTGAGTGCTCAGCTGTCACCCCGTAATGTGAACAAGTTGAGCTGATGTTAATTATCGGTGACCTCTTCTCTACTTCGTTTCAAATGCTGTTTTATTGATCCTTCAGATTTCCTTGGACTGGATCTAGTGCACTAATTCCATAGATTAGTCTATTCACCTTTGCTGAGCTCGATATGGCTCAGCGGTTAGGGCGCGAACTTACTGACCGGAAAGTCCGTGGTTCGAACCCGACTTCTGTATCTCGACTGCTTCTGTCTAATCTTGGGCAACCTGGCAGTATTTCAAATTTCGGGAGTAATTTTTATGGACATTGACATAGACACTTCTTGAAGAGCAAACCACGGACAATCCAATCGCATTCTATTTCCCAAAAATTAGTTCAAGATGTGTGTGTTTTAATGAACACATCGTCTAACTTACAGTCATCTCTCTTCTCTCCTCCCATCAAGCAATCACAAAGCCGATTTGGTACCCCTTATGCCCGCACATCTCTCCCGCATTCATCGACGTTCCGGTTCGGCAGTCCTGGGTGAGCGTTCAAAAGTCCAAACCACCTGTCCGGTTCCTTCACCGTTACATCTTGTAAATGGAGTCGTTTCCGGTCTGTCTGATGATATTGCAGCAACCGATGCACCAAAGAAGACCAGTTTGCCGGTCAGACTAGACTGCACAGTTGAAAATGACTTTTTCGCCTCTCCCACGAACAGCAACCAAGCAGACCAGTCAAGGCATGGTCCCATCAGTGCACTGTGCACTCCTCTACCTTACGATCTTTTGCTAACCCCACCCATTCCCAAAGCTAAGTAAGTTGGAAGAAAAGGGTGCTCAAATTGCGGTGTGTGATAAAACACTATTCCTTAGTAGGTTCATTCACACCGTTTTCGTACATTTGAGAAGCTGTCTTGGAAATAACGAGCCTTTTTCCTCCTTACGATATCGTTTTCGGTTGATCAGTGGTTTATAGGTAAGTATTCACGTTGGTTGCACGACTATACATCGGGTCGGATGCGGTCAGGCGCTACTAGACTTTGATTGGTCAGTGTCAAGCTATGCTTCTTGACCACGAATGAGGCGCCGACACTGACCTTGCAGAGTCTGAGGCTCAGATGTGCATGAGACAAGAATGACAACAAGAGTTGTGCGTCAAAAATGGTGGGAGCGCTGGTCACTCCTCTACCTCTGTTCCGTGTGTTTCATCTTTTGTATGTCTCCAGTTCGTTTGGGACCCATCAACATGTGACTTGCCTTTCGGCAAAAGAGGATGCGTTCGTAGCCTTCAACATAAGCAACGATGTGTCGAAACAAGGCCTGCGTAAATTGGGTGGCCATTCGGTGGGTGATTACTTCAGATACCCAATGCAGCAACGAAAACAATTGTACTATCACCTCCGTCTAAGAAGCCTGCAGTTAAGTTTTCAAGTTTGTGTCAAGCTTTTTATTCCCGGTTAGGAAACACTGTCGGGTTTTTGATTATGATAGGTTCGTCAGGTCCGAGCAATTAGAACATTTTTGTATTCGGTCCTTCTGATCGTCTCCTCCAATCAGTGTGTCACTTACCTATCTCTACTAACTTGTGCCTGAACGACGAAGAAAAGTACCGTCACACGAGTCCACGTGTCACTGGCGCCATATATCTGTCTGGCTATGAACCGTCTGTGAATCGGCTTCCATCCCTCAACCATATCAAGCAGTCCAACCATTGATTTGTATTTATTGCGTCTCGCCATCGTGGCCAGGTCATTGTTAATTTAGATCTCTCCGGTATTGACATAGCACTGAAATGTGCTCTGAGAAGTGAATGTATTTCTTCAGTGTTGCGTTTGCTTCTAACGTATTCTTACTTTTCCTTTCAATCCCTTTGATCTAGGCGAAAGTCTGTCCTGTCCAGTCAGAATAACCGATGCGCTGGTTGTGGTACCTTCATTGAGACTCGTGAGTTCAGCATTCCTGTGCCCATTAGTGTACTCATAGCGGAAGGCGAAAATGCAGCAACATAACAAGTGGTTGTTCCCTTCCCAGTATCCACATCCATTTTTGCTCGTTTGAAAACCTCAAAGCCAGTTTGTCACCGCGGTTGCTTGTTTGGCTCAGCAAATTAGTAAGTAATACTCGCTGGGGTTCCCGTATGGCTTGGTCAGTGGATATAGTGGATATATAGTGGAAAAAGCTCTCATGAATTTTGGGATTGAAACGTGTCCATCCGTTTTCCCCTATTATTTCAACATTGGCAGTCCAACATCTTTTATTAAATTCTTCCTCTTCTCTGCCTCTTTCCGTCTATTCAGGCTACCTCAAACGAATGCGGTTTTGTGAGTTTTTCGCGCGATACTTCTGCTGCGTATGTCACGCAAACACGCTGATGGTTCTCCCGGGAAACCTGCTAACTAACTGGGATTTCCGAATGATGCCTGTGTGCAATATCGCCCGGGATCGTCTGCATCAATTACACCGCCAACCGTTGCTTCGTTGGCCAGATTTTAGCCGTCGAGTTGTTCAAACCCAACCGTGTCTGCGAAATTGCCACACTTTACGCACCCAAGGTCGACTATTGCTGCCTTTCGTGCAGTTCTGTCAGAATGGTGAGCAAAAATTCCATTGCTGTTGCCCTATTTCGGTACGCGCCTTGATAGTTCACCAACTGGCTGTTGGATCCACATTATCCGCCGCGGATCTCGCCGTGACGCTCGATCAATTTTTCGGGCTTTTAGACTCTGCGGCTTGTGCTTTCTGACCAATGCTGTGCCCGGTTTTGTGCGGCTATCCAATATGGGCTAGGATTCCGCCTCATCTCTTGTGATTTTCTGACACAGTTCCGAAGTCCACTGTTACTTGTGGTGTTTTCATTGGCTTTCGAGCCACATTGGTTTTCACCTACTTCGTGTGACGCTTCCGTAGTTGATCAAGCGCAACCAGCTAAAATTCAGGTGACGTCTGGCGATTGATGGGCCAGCTACCATAAACCCATAGAATCATCAGCTAAATCTTATTTTGAGTGACAGGACGTGCTCTTCAATCCATTCGCACTTTCCAAGGTTAGTTTCGTTGCCAGCTGGCGTCATCAGTAATAAAAAAATGCAGTTTAAATTGATTACGGTGCTCAATTTAGTTTTAAAATACACCTGTTATCCGAAATTCTCAGCCGCCTTTGGACTGAGTGTGTAGGAGCATATCATCTCATAACATGTGACGTCACTCACGTAGGTGTCACACATCCGTGAACTTTTAGCACCCCGTTCATATCTGTAGAAGGCGGGATGGACCAAGTGATCAAGAGTGCGAGCTTACTGACTGGAAGGTCCATGGTTCGAACCCGACCTCTGCATCTCGACTTCCCCTGTCTAGGCTAGGACAATCTGGCAGTATCCCAGCCCTCATGCAACCTTAGGGTGGCATAGCAGTTAAGCACCGAAACGGTGCAACAGCTGAAAGATTTTTTTCACATCTGTGAATATATATTTGCTGTCATTTTCCTAACCGATCTAGTGCTCAAAGGTGGATGGAAGCTGATTTGGTCGTGTGGCTCTTGCATCATTGAATTAGAAGTTAGTGGGCCTGCTTTAGGAGGAAAAAGGCAGTGTTGTCATCTGATCCACGGTAGCAACCAGAATGACGCCAATGAAAACATTCACAGTCATGCTACTCGGGTGGCTTGACCGAGATTAAGTATACTTTGTCCAACACGGGTATGGACTCACATTGGATGCTGTTATGAGTACAGATCAGTAGTGTATGCATCCATTAATCGCATCATCTGTTTTTTGGCTTTATACTGTGCGTGTCATCGCTTGACATCTGCTTGAGCACTTGATTCTTCGTTTTGTTGTGCCTGGGATAGGCGCCTGGTTAACATTTCGATTCATTATCGACACCTGAGTAATACTCAGTCGCATTGAGTCAATGCAGAGAGACCGGTTTGATTGTCTGGAAGATCTCCTCTCCTAAGGAGCACAATGTCACGTACTTTTAAGCTTGCAAATAGCTTGTTGGCCCTGTGCACAGTCGTAGATGAAGTCATTAACAGTACTGGTTCCCGTTCAGATAGTTCTTGATCTGTTTGCCAAGCTTGGCAATTCGTTTTCAAACGTTCTGTCACTAATCGAGCAAAAAGCATCAGTACGCGCTTGATTTGAGTAGTACCGTACCATACTGATCTGTAATTTTTGCCCCCCTATTTATTCTCCGGGTGAGTTTCAAAAGTGCCTAATGCATTTGCAATTTAATCGGCAGTATGCTGGTGTGAAGTCGCTGCCCGCAACCATTCTGCCTTTCTTTGTTTAGCTCAGGAACTGTTGATGGCTCTGGCACAGCTTCCCTCACACTGGTTACAGTCACCGGACATATGGAGTATGGCCGACTTGTGCGCTGTTCGTGATGGGCAGTTTGAAAGCCGTCTACGCATGGCTCTCCAACCGATGGTGGACCACCTCTCAGCTTGTCCAAGATGCCGTGCTCAAGGTTACGTGTGTGAGGTGTGTCACTCTGGCCAAATTCTTTTCCCATTCGGTCAGGTGAACACAGTCATGTGTCCAGCCTGTTCGGCTTGCTTCCATCGCAACTGTTTGCGACAGCCAAGACCGGAAACGTGTCCACGCTGCATACGGCGGAATGAACGGCGCAAGCGCAGTCAATCGCACCCAGCTGTTCCACCCATCACTGTTCAGGATGGCGGGGATGAGGACGATGCACTAATGCTGGCTTTGCGTTAACAAGTCTCTTATTGGTACCACAATATCCCGGTCTATGCCATATCAACTTTCTTATTTGCATCTCCTATGTGGGGGTTCTCCTGTGAAGTTATTGTAGCTTTTCTAAAATCACTAGTTCCTCATATTTGCGGTATGCTTTTTTATTCTGATTATATCTACCTTCCAACTGTGCTCCACACACTGTCTTTCATTTTGATGAGGATTGTCTCGAATCGCCAGATTTTCAACTGGTACACCCATCTCCAAATATCCCACTACCCGCATGACCTGATTTTTTTTATCGACTGTACAAACTTATTGCGCAGGACTCTCTTCCTTTCGCTCATGAGTTACGCGATCAATTCTAAAAATATTTTCCACTCAAGGCGACGTCTCCGTTCTTTCAAGATGGCCCAAGTGGTTAGAGCGCGAATTTACTGACCGGAAGGTCCATGGTTCGAATCCGACCTCCGTCACTCGACTTCCCCTGTCTAGGCTTGGGCGACCTGGCAGTATCCCAGCCCTCGTCCTTCCTTCGGGTGGCATGGCAGCTAGGCACCGAAAGGGTTCTACAGCTGAACGCTTTCTCTTTCTTTCTCTCATTCTATCAAGAAATTTAACTATGCTGTAGCATGTCGGTAGTCGGTAGGGAGTCGGTTGGCCAAATAGCTCAGCGTTGGACACCTCTTCTGAGCTATCAAGGTGATTGCATACACTCACGCGGAGTTTGCAGAACACGCCTGTGCCGTGCGACGATAGACAGAAGCCCTTTCAAGAGAGTTTAGTTAACTTGCCACAATGCCTCTCACGAAAATTCACCCGAACACCAAGACTAACCTTTACGTGGTGCATCGCCAGCACAACCATAAACTCTGTCCCGTTGTTCGCACGATGCTGATATGTCTTCGTTTGCGATACTGTATGTCTGGTGAGCATAGTTTTGTTTCTAAAGCTGTTGCACGCACATAACCGAGGTATCAATGACCTGAGGAATCTTCCCGTCTACTACCTGGGGGCGAAACTAAGACCCCGAAAAAGTCAAACAAGTTTGGTGTTGTTAGGTGGGCGGACGTAATATGGAAAGACGAATGGCCGTGTATATCTAAGGTGGGAGGTTTTTTACTTTGAAGGAGAGCCGTGTCCACGAAATCCCAAGGACTGGGAAAGGGACAACCATGCACTGGACTTTTGTGCTTGCATCAGTTCAGTTTAGAGGGACTCGACCGTATTGGAGATGGAACGTGTCATAAAAAACATTTTTACCGGGTTCTTCATCAGACTAAGGCTTCTCTTGTTCCACAATTCTTACCAGCTGTTGCTTAGATGCTTTTTGGATTAAGTATCTGCAAAATGCAGTGTCCGGGTGCCTTCGATTTGCTTGAATTTCGTTTCTGGAGGCGCGTGGTTGGCATGCTGCTGTGATCACGATCGTTTGTAGTGTTGGCTAATATGAATCTTGTCCGACAAGGATCGTCAGCATTTAGGAAGATCTGTAACTTAGAAATCTGTTTACCTCCTAGCTCTCCATATGATTATCATCAGGCAGGGCAACATCAGTGCTGACACTGATGTTTCACTGTCGCACAGCGACACAGTTCATCTTATCATATTTGAAGCCTTAGAGTGAAAGAGAGAGAATATAATAGGTGAGGGCGGGGACCTAGTGCTGGTCTATTCTGAGGTGCCTATATCCCCAGGCGCTCATTCCAACTGTCTGGAAAGAAACTGACAGCAAGAACACCACTGTCACCGACCAGCCACCATTTCCTGCGAAGTCTCCAGCCTATCGTAGGACGGGTCACGGGGACCCTATCCTGGAAGGTGTATCGCACCAACAACGCCCAACTCTTTAATCCCTTTCACATCCTTCTCCCTCGCCATACGTTGTCAACCTCACCATTTCCGCCACTGTGAAGGAAGCATAAAGAACAACAATGGTCCTGGTAGACTCTGTGCTTCCGAGTAAATTTTGAGCGAGATCAACCGTTTTATGTATTGAGGTAGATGCACAAAGTTTTCGTGGCTAATCGATTAGTAATCTTGTGGAAGATTCCCTCTTATTCTTAGGAAACACAAAATGCGGAAGGAATTTTTTCAAAGGCCTATGTTGGACAAGCAATTCGGTTGTAACCTCATCAAAATAATTCTGGAACTGCGGTCAGGTTTGGCTTTTTAATGATGACTAAACAGAGCAACTGGATTGGATCCAGGGGGGACGCACCACTAGATCATTCGATAGGTCACAACATTAGCAGTCAACTAGAAACAATGACCAAAATACAAAACGGTAACGAACTACTTGGACTCCATGCGCTTCATCAGGATCTGGTTTCTCGTAACTCGTCCAAAAATTCGTATTACGGTTGCTTTGTGTTTTTGACAAACATCCACCGCGAATATCTTTTGGATGCAAGTTATTTGTCGAACAAAATCTTTTGGGTGCGTTAAATCATGGTCACATTGAAAGAATGTTGGAAAATGTTCAGAAGTCCCCCAAAAATAGACATTGGGGTATGCCCCATGTCCGGCCTATCACAGCTGGAGATGAACTTGATGGAACAGCCAACGGGCTGTTTTCATCGTGTGTCAGGTGCCTGTCGAAGTACATAGCTTTTAAGTTGAAAACTTGAAGGCTATATTTCGTGAAAAAAATATTAAAAAAACAGGACGAAACCTCAGTTGAAATCGTTAAATCTCCTTACACTATGGTAAATCTGTAAGTCGCTTAGAGGAAGGATACTTTCGCAAGATGAGTGAGACTTCCATCTGAGAAGTCGAAAAACCAATCAATACGTGATGTGGTTTCCATAATTGAAAGATAAATGGTGCTTTATCCTGTTTCAGTGGTAGCTAATGACGCTGCTGTTCAGGAGCCCGAGGCAGAACTGTTAAGTGTTCAACCACTGGCCGTAAAATTGTGGGATCGAAACTCTGAGTTTCGTGGGATGCGCGCTGCTTGTTGTTCCTAATAACAAAGCACAGTGTCTGTCGGCTTTTTAGCACAAATCATCCTCAATGACAGGACGAATCTCAACTGAACACTAATCCTATTTGATGCGTTGCTTATGGATAAAACACTTCAGTTCAACATTCCAGGATCATTGCGCTGCAATGCTGTGTTAAACTGGGATTAGTGGTCATGCTTCGTAAAGAAAACAGAGGTCAGCTATCAAACGGTTTTCAATAGATCTGTGTGACTTATGCAAGTCAATTGTGAACGTGTAATCTGCGTGCGGTAGTTGCGAACAAATTGGTCCGACCCAGAGACTATTGTTCCGTCATTCCTGTCTGCAGTTGCAAATTCTTGAGTTATTCCTTCCCAGGACAGATGGTTTTTAACAGGTCCTAATAGTGTACCACCTGAGGTTTGTGATGAGAGGGAACTCCTAAGTAAGTTGTCGGAGACAGTTTTTTTCTTTTGTGGAAGCGAGTTAATTGAGTTAGGCTCTCGGCTTTCAGAAATGTTTGTCCGAACCACTCAACTCGACCAAATGAGCGCTAGATATTGTCAAGATCAGCAGAATTCGTTACTTCCGAAAAGGTCATACCTGAAACGAGCGACCATGATGTCGCACGCAAATCTCTAAAAAAAACAGGAAAATCAAGAGCTTGAAGAGTGACAGAGAACACTGGCGGATTGCGAAGGCCGACGAGATGGAAAAGACTCTTTGCTGCAGGTGACAGCTGTGCCCTATTTCAGCCGGTCAAAAGAAGACGAGTGTCAGCGAAACGATATGCGGGAAAGGCGGAATGGTAATTCACTTCACTAGTCATCGTCTTGAGCGATGCATCGAGCACTTCCAGAACAGTCCAGCCGCTCTCCTTAAACACAGTAACTAAGAGAATCCAGCGGGCCTAAATGAAAAATCGACACCAGCCCGTTAAAGGGAGGCTGGCCTGAATAGATCGTCTATGTTTTTCTCTAACTTAATGTACTATATACACGCCGCCTCCTCACAGTTCAAGTAGCAAAATCCAATATCTACTTAGGACATAAGGTTGACAGATTCTCTAGGACCACACCCACCTCAAGAAGAGAGAAACTGCCAGTGGGTTGTCTAAAAGTTTTCAGTGACGCGATAAGTAATATGCCATGTCGCAGCACTCAGTTTCTTTTTGGTTAGTTTGGCTGGTCAACTCATACGATCGGCGGCTTAAGTGTAAGATGTAAAAGTAGTCAACTTGAGACGAATTATGGCATTTCAGTGAATGTGGATGGTTGTCTAAAAGTTTTCAGTGACGCGATAAGTAATATGCCATGTCGCAGCACTCAGTTTCTTTTTGGTTAGTTTGGCTGGTCAACTCATACGATCGGCGGCTTAAGTGTAAGATGTAAAAGTAGTCAACTTGAGACGAATTATGGCATTTCAGTTTCTGAATGTGGATGCTGTATGGATTTTGGCGTGCTTTAGGTTGGGCCTGCTTTCGCTTTAGATTCAAGCCGTTCATTTTCACATATAATGACACAGCGACACATGTCAGTTCCGCTTATCCGGAGCTGTTTACCCTCCACTCAATCCAAGTTAGAATGCTTGGCACATTTCGGTCATTAGTCGCGCTGGTGTAACTCAAGAGTTCCACTATTTCCCGTGCCCATTATTGATTCAGATTATTTAACCAACTGTTGATAAACATCTGGGGCGAGATGGCTCAAGTGGTTAGAGCGCGAATTTATGACCGGAAGGGTCTGCGGTTCGAACCCGACCCCTGCCCCTCGACTTCCCCTGCTTAGGCATGGGCGACCTGGCAGTATCCCAGCCCTCGTGCTTCCTTCGGGTAGCATGGCAGCTAGACACCGGAAGGGTGTTACAGCTGAACGACGATAAACATCTGCGCTTCTTGATGGTTTGTCTGCGCTCTGTCTGAGCTCACCAGTTCTGAGATGTAGCTAGCTCCCTGGCTGTTTGTCTCGTACAAACTTTCGTTCCGTCCTCATAACTCTACCGACTAGAAGGCGATTCTTCCTTTGTACACTCTTGATCGTAACGGTACTCTAATGTTGGCTATACGGAGCGCCCTTCTATTGCTTTAACAAATCCCTGCTTTGTAGGCGAATGACCTCTGTCCCTTTCTTGTTGGGTCTTGATACAGGAACTAATAACCGGTTTTAGCTATCTGGAGTTTTGAATAGCCCAATTTCCCATTGCTTAAAGGTGCTTTTTGACTTCAAGTTGTGATGCTGCCAAATCAACATCTGGCGTATCACGGGTGCTAAACAGTTATGCACTCTAACCCTACGCTTGCTGACTACTGGCTTAATCATCCCATTGTTAAACTATCGACAAGGTCCATCATATTTGTATTTTTCCTGCTTCGTTGGTCGTCACTATTAGCCCCACTAACTATGGTTTTGCCCTACAATCGGTTTCAGTGATGTTTCCCGCCTTCTAGGCTATTTAACAGAGGCGAGATGGCTCACTAGTTGGAGCGCGAATCTGCTGACCGGAAGGTCCGTGTTTCGGACCCGACCTCTGTAGCTGGACTTCCCCTGTCTAGGCTTGGGCAACCTAACGGTACGTCAGCCCTCGTACATCCTTCGAGTGGTTGGACTGCTGGACACTGAGAGGGTGTTACAGCTGAAAGATTCTGGTTATTTAGCTGCCCCCTCCAACTGCATCCTTCTGGCATGCTGGTAAGTGATCCTCGCTCTTTGGACCTGTTTTATGTATTTACCACACTGTGATACCTAGTAGATGAGTGATTTCCTTGAAGAAAACTATTCAGAGGGTTGCTGAAAACGTCGCCAGCCCATGATCGGTGTCGCCCTTTTTGTGACTCGTCATATGGGTGCACTATCCTAGTTTCCGTCAATCTTATATTCTAAATCAATCCAAACTGAACGAAATTCACCCATTATTCTCATTTACACAGCAGACTAAACTGAATCCACCTGAATCTCTCGTTTATGGTGTTCTTCAACCGAATGTGCTACACAGGACTGCCTTGTTTGGAGTTTTCGCAGAATATATACTTGACAGAGCACACTACCCTAGTATCTTATTACAAAGTTCTCACAATTAGCACAGAACGCTCACACACCCAGAATGATCATGCACTCACGTGACAAAATCAACCAAAGCATTTGCCAGGTAGACGTTTCTCTGGTCACTTGGGTGAAAAGACCAGTCCATCCTAAAATAAAATATTACACTTCCCCTGTCAACTCTAATTTTGGATGCCACAATAGGTCCCCTAATCAACGTCCACGCCAGTTTCGGTCTCATGTCGGATCTTTTGGGGAGCGGAAGAACGTCACTTTTGGAAAAGAATCTTGCTCTTTTATGTCCAATCGACTTCACAGTGAGCTGTCACGATCCAAAATGATCATTTCTTTCAAGTCAATCCTTGGTTAAATGAGGTATTTACAGGCATTCGCGTGATTGTTTGCATCTAAAATTTTGTTTTTATTTGCAGCACTTATATTCTATTCAGTTCACTGGCTGTTGATCAATGTACCTTAATGGAGACTATTTAAAGCCTATTTTAAGGTCTCTATTCATCTGAGCGAAGCGCTCACTTATAGATTAAGTTGGTATTAACAGGGGACTTGACTAGGAATGAAATAACTCTCTGGTGTACAATGTATCGCCCAAAGGCCGCACTTGAATCGATGTTCGAGCTGTCGAAGGAAATTATATCCATCGGGTGCAGTTGAGATTCAGCTGATTCTCCTGTCGTGGTTTATGTTGACATTTGTCCCGTTCGGTGTTCACTTACCTAATAAGATTGATGAGGGCTGGGACTACGTGATGAATTTACCGATGCATCACAAGATCATCGGTATCCCGGCATCGGTGAAGTACGAATGGAAGACTAACTGGATGGCGCGTCTGCTTTTTAGGTCTCTGTATGGCTCAGTACAACTAACCGTGGGTTAGGTGTTTATTATAGTAGCCAGCGTTGCGCGGATCTAAAGTCCACCTTCACACGTGGTCGAACGCAGAGGTGAGCAGTGGAGGCTACGGTTTCCATACTTCCTACTGGGTGAGCGACATCCCATGCGGCAAGCACAGAACCGGTGGCAGTCACGTGATTTGCCCAGACAAGGGGATCGGAGGACAAACCAAGCGACAGTTAACTAAGCCATTTGTCCTCCGCATGAGACGTCGACAATTGGATAACCTAACCAAGGCTGTTGAGACGCATGGAGCGTTTGATTGGTCGGTTATCTCGACCACATGAATCACTGGTCTACGGCTCGTCAGCCCCACCCCCCACCTATCCATGGCGCGCCATGCGTGCGTCAACCCAGAATAGGCGAGACAAAGGAGACGACGAAGCATGGGCGTGCAGATGACGCCCTCAGAAGTCACGGAGGGGTTGATTGGTTAAAGTCAGCAATCGTGATCCGGGCTGACTAAGTTCACATCAGTCCGTAGACGTGTGAGCGGCCGAATGTGACAGTTCATACGTTCGCCCTCACGTCGGTGATAACTATCTTGAGGGTTCCGATGAACGCTGCGACGCAGATTTATTTGCAGTCTAATGTGCTTGTGGATGCCTTGGAGGCGGTTACCCCAGAATCAACAATGGAGGATGCTTCGACGGATGAATTGGATGAAAATATATGCAACGGCGCGAGTCCCAGCTCATCCGATGACGACGATGCATTGCCAAAGTTCCGCGAATCTGTTGCCCCCTCGATTATCGTTGAAAGCTGTAGAACCCCAAAAACAACCAACTACCCACCCGTAGGCATCCATCAAGGAGATGCGAAATGGAATTTGGTTAAAGTGCGCGTCAGTTTTGACGTGACCCGCAAAGGTACGTGTAAATTTTCACAAAGTTAATATAGCCTCAAATAATTGTCACCTGTATAAGTCCTCATCGGGTTTTCGTTAGTTTCCCTAGGCACAAATCATGGTGAAAAAATCCCTTAGTTCATTTTGAACTATCGTTTCGATGTTATCTCTGATTCGGGTCTCGTTTGTTGCAGGATTACAGAGAATCAAGGAAAGATGATGTAGCGTGCGTTTTCCATCGGAATAATCAAAATCGTCGCTGCGAACTCGAATGGAAGAATGGTTTCATATGAGCATCTCATCTTGAAAAAGGGCCGACTTATAGATAGTACACTGTTACAACTGCTAGGAGTAGTGAGCACATTTTGAAAGTTGTGTAACCAAACGCTGCGGGACTAAATACTGCCGTTATTCACTAAGGCACCCCGGAAGCCTAACTTTCCTATTGACAATATCATCATCATTAGAGATCAGCAATTTCTCAAAACCAAAATAATAGGCGAGGCAGGTGTCCGGTGTTAGCATGCTGCAAACATTCTTCGTTCCTTTTTCCCACTCCTAAACAATCAACCAGACAGCTTCCAAAGGAACTAACACGATTAGCCGGAAAAAATCCCTTAGTTCATTTTGAACTATCGTTTCGATGTTATCTCTGATTCGGGTCTCGTTTGTTGCAGGATTACAGAGAATCAAGGAAAGATGATGTAGCGTGCGTTTTCCATCGGAATAATCAAAATCGTCGCTGCGAACTCGAATGGAAGAATGGTTTCATATGAACATCTCATCTTGAAAAAGGGCCGACTTATAGATAGTACACTGTTACAACTGCTAGGAGTAGTGAGCACATTTTGAAAGTTGTGTAACCAAACGCTGCGGGACTAAATACTGCCGTTATTCACTAAGGCACCCCGGAAGCCTAACTTTCCTATTGACAATATCATCATCATTAGAGATCAGCAATTTCTCAAAACCAAAATAATAGGCGAGGCAGGTGTCCGGTGTTAGCATGCTGCAAACATTCTTCGTTCCTTTTTCCCACTCCTAAACAATCAACCAGACAGCTTCCAAAGGAACTAACATCGATTAGCCGCCATTTCTTGCAGTCTCTCCACCAAATTCTTGGGAGGGAGGTCACATAGACCTCATACTGAAAGGCTAATGGCAAAAAACATGCAAGCTCTTCCATTCCATTTCACGCCATGTCTAGCAGTCATAAAAAACGTAGCCCTTACTGCAGTCTGGTCCAAGCAGCTCCAGAGGCTCAACGGAAAGTATCATTTTGAGGCCACACGTGATGGCCATTCCTTAAGTATCCCTGTGGTTTGAAGCACTAACAAATGTGATTCAGACAGTCATTCAGTTCAGCTGTTGTACCCTTTCTGTGCCTAACTGCTATGCAACAAAGGAAGCACGATGACTGGGCCTCTGCCAGGTTGCCCAATCCTAAACAGAGGAAGTCGAGATGCAGAGGTGGGGTTTGTACCATGGACCTTCCGGACGGTCAATTCACGCTCTACGCACCATTCCATTCAGCCATTCCGACACTAACCTCATTGTACACACTGCCATGGGAGCCAAACAAATAACTGGGTGCGTAAAATTCTCCACAACATCCAGTGCTTTTTCTTGAATGTGCAGTAGGCGTGTTAGGACACTGCACGTTCTGAAGCATGACTTTGAACTTTGAGGGTGCAAGGTGCATGTCGAAAAATGCTACGATCACTTTATTCAACAGAGTATGGGCTTGGCAGTCGCCTTCATAGGTGAGGATGATATCTTCTCCCCAGTCTATATCAACAAACAAGGAGTTGAATGCCGTTTATTCCTATATTCATTACCATCGAAGCCGCACCTTAGAAAAAACATTGAAAATTTGTAAAAGGCACACTGATGACCTTGAGGACTGTATTCTGGCAGCGTACGACTCGGCGAATGTTTCTGGACGATCTACGGTGAAATCATCAGCTTGGGACAAGCTTATCAGTCAACAAGACGAAGCGTTCAATAATCATCTTGATGATGAGCTAAGAGAAAGATGCTTATCGACGCTTGCATTACCCGATCATGTTAAAAAGTACTCGTCGTCTTTGCTCTGTAACTTTGGACATGGACAAATACTTTGACCTATCTTTTCTCATGTTGAGTGAATTATGCTTTCCAAGAACATGCTTGGATGTATTCCTGGAAGTCTGTCGTCGAAAATCAGTCTTTCTCTGCCCACCTAGGACGATGGCCGAACTTTTCCGTTTTATTCTTTTCACCTCAAAGATTTTTCGAGAAAAGGGTTATAATGTTGCGCTGCTGAAACACCGGTGCTCAAATCTGTCGCTGTTGTCAATGGTGAATGAGCACATTTCAATTTCGTTAGTCAATGAGATCAGTGATCGACGGGCACTCTCGATTGAGTGCAACTTCATGTGAACGTATAGTGTTCGATGTCTGTCCTCTGGGGGATTTCGCTTCTAAGATAGATTCGAATCGTCAAAATTGTCTCCTTCTTGAACTTGCTTTCCAAATGATCGTTCAGCTGTAACACCCTTCCGGTGCCTAGCTGCCATGCCACCCGAAAGAAGCACGAGGGCTTGGATAATGCCAGGTTGCCCAAGCCTAGACAGGGAAAGTCGAGAGGCAGAGGTCGGGTTCGAACCATGGACCTTCCGATCAGCAAATTCGCGCTCTAACCACTTGAGCCATCTCGCACCCAAATGAAGGTTCTTGTGTAACGACGCAGTACTAAACAGCTAACGTATCAGCGATGGCGTAATCTGCTTGGGGAAATAAATGTTAATTCTACGAACAACATCTTAGGTTTTCACGACAAATCAGTGTAGACTTCCGTCATTTTTTTTTTCGGGACTGCCAGTTGGTATATTGGAATTAAGCGATGAAGGGTTGAACGATAAATATTGAAGGAACATTTTAAGAGCATCCTGTGTTTAAGATCACACCCACATCCATTGTTCCCAAAACGTCCGATTTAAATCACTGCGTTTGTTTCAAACAAGTCACAAAGTTGTTAGTGATTAGGTGCTAAGTTTACGTAGCCGGACGGACGCTACTCTTCAGTCCACACCTATAAAATTTTGTTGCATTCTCGACTGTCGCATTTTTCCGATTTGATCAAGCCGTTCACGCTCATTTCTGTCTGATAGGTGAGCGAAGCCTAGTGATCGACGGTTACAAATTCACAAAGTCCCGTGACGGGATGGGGGATCGGGTTTTCTGGCGCTGTTCACGTCGTGAATGTAAGGCTACAGCTGTCACCGTTGCCGACCGAGTGGAACATATCCGTGCGATCCATACACATGATCCACCCGTAGCTGCAGAGTTCTTTACCAATACACGCATCCAACATGAACAGGAGGTGAAATTCAACAAACTCTCCGGGGGGATGCAAAATGGCCGTAGAAAGAGCCATCCGATCTCAGCTAGTAAAGGCAGTGATCAACGCACCTTTGAGTTGGACTCGAACTTTCCGTTGCGTCATTCTGAGTCGGATTCCAAGTCGACCTCTAGTATATTCGAACAGATCTCTCCTGAGAACACGCTGCCAGAAGGACCACTGAACAACGGCTCAAACGGTACTGCAGTTTCGGTCTTGGGTCGATTGACTGATGTTTCCACAGAAGCTGTTCCCAACGACACAAGAACGATACAGGTATGATTGCGTGTGATTGTTGATTGACCGAGTTGTCAAATCCCATTGGTTACTTAAGTTTCCGTTTTTCATGGCGCTTACTTATACTGGAAGCGCTGGCCCGCTACCTTAACCAAGCCAAACATCTAGATGTTTCTTCTAAATGTTTCTTCCGGGAAGAACAACTGCTATTGATTTTTTGCTGGCCGGTATCTCTTGACGGAGATGGCACAACGCAGCAGGGTGACGATAAACGGTGTCCACAACCAATAGACGAATACGGGGGTGCCGCAAATTCAGGTAACAGCCCATTGAATCTCTTTTGAGTGCACACAGATCCTTAGAGGGACGCTACAGTTGTTTTTCCTTTAATTTCAAGCCCATGTCAGGCAGGCACTCTTATCGCCTATCCCGACTCAGAACATTCTATCTGACAATTAGGTGATCTGTGCGCGCAATGATGTATTCCCTAGAATGTTGACGGAGCGCCTGCAGGCGAATTCCAAGATCGGATCTGACAATTAGGTGATCTGTGCGCGCAATGATGTATTCCCTAGAATGTTGACGGAGCGCCTGCAGGCGAATTTCCAAGATCGGTGAACAGATCAACAGCCACCTGAACAACTACTAATGTACTCGCCCAAATTGCCAATATTGCTGACTGTCGTATGCAAAGGGGTCTGCAGCAAAATAGGATAGGACAACTCCTTTGTTGACTTACTCAGAAAGTTTCTTCAAACATCGACCCATTCTTATACGCCCACATTTTGCTTTATTTCCATGTGGAATGTCTGTCCCTTGTTCCATGTCAGTCGGTTTGTCCTAGTGATTCAATTAAAGTTGGGATTCGATCGGGGGAAACCAGTTAATGAAGTCGATACCAGCACTATCGATGTCTGTTAAAAAGACTAAAAAGACTGTTAAAAAGACTTCATGACTTCACAGGAACTGTATGAACTGTCAAGTTATTCCGCAGCATGGGTTGGAAGTCTAAACGGATCATTTCCAACCATCGTTTGCAATGGCATACTAATTATTCTTCGGGTACAACCTCCTGGCGCTTTACCTTGTTTCACAGAATATAACTTAAAACTGAAGCCGGATATATATTCATCGCGGTTGTCGATCATTCAGATAAGATTCATTTTTGTGGTAAGCGCTTTTAGCTGAGTATTTTAGGTAGACTGTAAACTCAACAGTTTCCCAACCGCAGAATGTGTGCACAAAACGGCTTGCCCATAGAATGTCTTTTGTTGGCAATGTGGGAAAATTTGGGAAATATAAGTTCCATCCTGCACGTGAGGCCAGTATATGCTGAAAAACTGGGAGGCACTGCACACCTGTCTCACCCTCATTTGGAATCATCGGCAGTATGAATCTCACGAGGTTCTATGGTGTTTCGAACCCGTAACCCACCGCCCAGTGGTTGGAACACTTGGCCGTTCGGGTACCAATGCCTGATCGGCAGTGTGATTAACTTGTACGTGGACAGGATATGGTGCCGCTCATCGTCCAATCACATCCTGTGGTCACGTAGGGACCGGCCCATCTAATGACGACTTCTCAAGTGGAAGTTTCACTCATCTTGTGACATTCTTCCTCTGAGCTACCTACTGACTCATGGTAGTGTGACGACGACTGCATGTGAACGGAACTCGAGATCATTGCTCAGTAGTCGGTGTTAGCACTTCTTACTCAGTCCACTAACAGGGAATCTGGTTTTCCGTTCCGTGCATTCATAGACAGCATCAGACACCCTTAGAAATGCATCCGTTCCATCGGAAGCCATATACCTTTTCAAGTTTAACACACGATAAATATAGCCATTGTTTGATTTAGCGTATAACTTAGTCTTGCGCTCAGCCCAGATGCGTGGGTTCTTGAACTAAATTATGCACCACTGTACGGGAAGAGTTCTGTGTTTCTCGATTGTTAGTTTAATATTACACCCCTTTCCGGTTGTAGTAACCTCCAGCAGGCCGATTATAGTCTCCAGGGCAAAAACTGTCGAGTCATTCCCACGGAGAGTCTATCGTTTCCCCCTGGCCGCAATCTAATTTGCATGTCCTGGCATCGGGAGCCGGGCACTGTGCCATTTTTCGTATTGCTCTTACATGCAGATCTGGTCGGATATCCTGCCTATTGTTACTCGTATAAAGTTGCAATTTAGTGGGGTCCGCACTTTGTTGTTCCTTAAGATACGGAACATTGTCTTTCCATATTCGTAAACAAAAATCACTTGGAACTTTACTCGTCGAATGCACCTAGTAGTTTTCGATAAACACTGTCATTTGCTAGTTTAGTCTTGAAGGGCTACTCAACTGGATCTATCTGAATCTCTCGTTTATGACGGTCCACTTCAACTGAATGTGCTGCACCAGGCCTACCTGATGGGCCCCAAGAAAAGCGAAACGTGTCGTGGGCTGTCGAAGAGTTTTCAGCAACCTTATTGGTATCGTTCTACGTCCAGACCCCTTATAGTTCGTCTTGATTTCAACCCTAGGTTAGTCTGCTTGGTTAAAGGGCAGAATACAATATCGATAACTGTGTATCTCATTTTTCGCTCCTTTGTTCTTTGCTATGCTATTTTATTCCGTAGTGTCATGGCTCCGAACTTCTTTTCAGTTCGCACCCTCAACGTTGATGGCAAAGAGCATGTGTTCACACAAGTTCACAAACCACACCGTTGACGCGCCCCCTTCAACTGAATCAGGTGGGTTGATTCGCTTGTCTCATAATTCCGCTGCTTCGTCTTAACTTTCTCCTTTGATTGCCTATGACGATTAGCCTATGAATATGTCACTATCGCCCATGCATAAAGGTCCACTGAGGTTGTACAAACCTAGCTAGCTAGTTAGTCTCACTACCCAGAGATGACAGTTTTGTTGAAGGTATTCACCTTTCCTGTTTTGAGGAAAGGATTCAGTAATGAACGCACAATAACCGTTCCCTAATTCGGAAAATCAAAGTAGCTGGCTAAATTTTCAGTGCTCTCATTGGGCACTGAGCATGGTTCTACGAAGCATGGATAGAACTTGGGTTTGTTTGACCAGATCGATGAGTATCAGCCGTTTGTCCAGCAGTGAGGGGGCTTTTGAGATTCTTCATTTAAAAAAATATAAGAGGATACAATTCGAACGGGGGTGTGATGTGTATGCCAAGGCAATTTAGTATCTTCCGAATGAGAACCCCACGTGTGAGCTGGTCAAAATGATTCATGTTTGGGTAACTCGGCCGAATCTTGAGTTTCATGTGGAAGCTGGACTGCTTTAAGGTCACATTTTATTCTGTCGTTTGTTTGCATTCCATATGTGAAGTATCGGTGTTGATCACTGATGTCATGCTGTCGATTATGGTGATGATGATGATTATGATGATGATTTCATACGTGATCCTCTTTGGAAAATAATTCGTGGCCAAGCGGCGGTAACTATGGGAAGCTACTAGAGATCTGAACGCTCATTTTTTACGTTGTATTATTGATTGTAGGACATACTGTGTGGCTCTTCACATCATGGTATTAAAGTCGGTCTACTGACTCATTGTTTCATCCTGTTGGAGCCTTCTGGTTCTTCATGCTCAGATTCATCAAGAAGTTAAGAATTTAACCTGTTTCATCATGTTTCCTGGCTAATTAATACTGGCAAAATAATCAACTTCTGCAGTCATAACCCCACGACAATACCTTTCATCTTGTCATCGTTTATGTCAACAAAGAAGCGCGTGTTCAGGTATTTTTCACGCCAGTCTTCTGATCTATCTTAAAGTAGGACTATCCCAAATGATACGCCCTATTACTCCTTCCTCGTCAGTACGTGAAAGAAACTGCATCTGATCTCTTCTCCTCTTGCTTCGTTACCAGATAAGCTTGACGTAACGCGACCTGTTCTTCCCTGCTCTTCCGGCTTGGAACAATTGGCTGCTATCGCATCTACTTTTGCCAAAGGCTCACTAGTCGAGGCAAGTTTCGAACCCACGCTCCCACAATCGTCCCGCCAACCAGTCTTATCCTTCCCATCAGCAACCACGATGTCCACAACAAATTTCGCAGCTCCAGTCTATCCTACAAACTCTTTGACATCTGTGTTAACTTCAGAGGTCCAGTTTGTGACCAACGCACATGGACATCTTATCCTCGTTCCCGGCAACAGTCAGCTGTCGAGCGTTTTAGAAGCACGCAAGTAAGTGCTCATTGGTTTTGAAAACAAAGTTGACAGATTCTGCGTCTGCTTAACCACACATCCTTCTTCATTCACTGCTCATGCGAACTGTTTGCGGGGTTCTATCTTCCCTTGGTACATACCATCCCTCACCATGGCTCCAGAGCTCTCGTAGATGTGACATTGGAGAAGAGGTTACTTATGAGTAGTCACTAATTTCTGTCAACACACGATCCTGACCGGAGATCTGAGTACCAATTTTTGCGTGGATTTTTCGAACTATAGTTAGCGCCAATTGTGCGACTGCGCTGTTTTGATTAACCTCCATCTACCTATGCTAGTGTGACAAAATTCGGCTTTGAAATTCCAGATCTATGGATGATGCTGTATCATCCGAGGTCTTGTGCCCCGTTTCCGGAGCCTCGTTGGTTGTGAATGGTCAGGAACGTCTTCCAACAATTTATGCGATCGCACGTCAAGGGACATCTCCGTCCGATGAAAATCACATGACTGCGGAGTACACGCCAGGTGACCAACAATTTTCTGGACCACCACTGGATGAATCACAACAAAATCCGCCTTTTTGTCGAGCCACTGGTGATCCTATCAATGGATATGCAAGCGATGGCCGATTAGGCGGGTTTACTTCAGTATACCGCTGTTCCTTGCCGTCTGTCGCCTCGAATTCAACCGCTTCCGGTACGCAGTTGTACCAAAATTGTCCCCGTATCAGTGCGTGCAGTTCAGGTAATGATTTGGACGTTTCTCTTTCAACGTCACCGGCCATAAATGCGTAATCTACCAAATAGTAATACGTATGGTAGACTCAAAATAAATCTAAAAAGTTTTGACCAGCATAGTCTATTTTCATTGTACACTGTCCTATGCTTTATAGTCCACTGTATTTGTCAATACTTGTTCGAACGGCCGGATGCCCTGTGCGGAAGAAGGTGAGGCGTGAAGTTCGAGCTTTGGACCACGCTGTGAAGGGTGTGTTAGCCACACTAGTCAGTCCGGATAGTTTCTCCGATCTTTCGTTGTATCCTGAGCTTTAATGGATCGTTTACCACTTCTTTCTTTAACTGATATTGACATCGCGACGTACCCAGTTAACCAGGAGACATAGCTATTGTCCAACGCTTCCTCCACCTAAAGGCGACCTATTTGAGCACAACTGTATCGTCCACTGGGTTGAAGTATATTACCCCTGTATGACAGTTTCCATAGGAGAACCACAACCTCTGGGGAAACTCCTCTTCACAACCATATGTCGCAATAACAGTACGAATTACCGCTAACCGACCGTCACGCTTAACAACCAATCCCATGAACAGTGGGTTTATGCCACTCCACGACATCATCGGCTCCCTGATTGATTGACAGTGTGGTTAAGGCCAGGCGCACCTTAAAACTTTGGAGCATTGTTCACGGGCGCATTGCGGATAGGGTTTGATGGAGTTAGTAAATGAGACCAAGCAATACACAATTGTACGATGCGTTGCTTCTCCCTAGGGAGACCATCGCTCTGAAGAGAGGGGATCTGGACTCCTCAGCAGATGACTCTTCTTAGGGTGGAGAGAGGCGGTAGTTTTCGGAACGGATACTTGTATTCACAGTTTATTTGGTTGTACTTCTAGAACATGCCATTCTTACATCTTTTTTACTACTTGAGCAGCACCGAAGTTTTTTTGGTAGCGAGTCGACTTATTACAGGAACATGAAGACTCTTATTCAAGCACCGGTATACGTCCTATTAGTGTAAAGGTACTGGATATCTCTCTCAGTTCAATGTGAAAGGTCCCATCACGCGCTTAAGAAATCTGCTCAAAGCACCAGCTGACTGCCTAACTGTTCTTGCTTTAGTACGCAATGTGCCGAGGTTTTTCATTAGCCGTCCGTCCCACAAAAACACCTGGTTGATTCTACGTTTTCGTAAACCTCCAGGACACGGTCTTGTTCTAGGGATACCATACCGTTCAAGACCGTATGCAAGACAAGGCGTTTTTAACTGAGGGTTCATTCGGCGCAGCAAAGGCTTTCGTCACACGCTTTCCTAACTATGATCATCTGGCGACACTTTAAACGCCGCCAGTCAGTTTATAACAGTTAGTGTGTAAAAGGGGGGACCTACACAGGAGGCAGGGAGTTGTGAAACGAACCTCTCATATGTTAAGCTGAGCAGCAACTTCATCACAATAGAGGATAGGAACTGAGGATCTTGTGGAGCTGACTGGCTGTTACATCCTGGAGGGCATACCAGATCCGTTTTACAGTAGAGCCTTCCAGATATCCTAATTCAATTTATACGACTGTTCAGAGTATCGAGGGGAAAATTGCAGACGTTCTTTCTAACACAGTGTCGGTTTTGTATATGTTAGATAGAATTTTAAGGTCATGCTACAAGGCTGGAACTAGAGCCTAGAGCACTGGTGAAAACCTGTGATGGATCTGTTTTGATGATGTGCTCGTTGCGTGATATTGCGCTTTATCAAACGACAGTTGGCGAATTCACGAGTATCAAACGCAACAGACAGAGCTCCTCCGAAAGTGCACATGTCCTCAAGGCCAAAAACCACAAACAAGCAAAGTTGAAAACACTCCTTCTAACAAGCCAATAGTTATCACAAGGTCAGACACAGTAAACCAAGTAATAGTAGTGAACTGAGTCGATTGGGATGGTGGGAGCGTGATGGCTCAGTGGTTTGAGCACGAATTTACTGACCGGAAGGTCCGCATGTCGACCTTCCCTGTCTAGGTTTGGGCAACCTGGCAGTATCCCAACCCTCGTGTTTTCTTTCGGGTGGCATGGCAGCTGGGCACCGAAAGGGTGCTACAGCTGAACGATTGGGATGGTAAAGCTGAGTAGCATGTACATGTCCTGGATATCTCTCTCAGTTCAATGTGAAAGGTCCCATCACGCGCTTAAGAAATCTGCTCAAAACACCAGCTGACTGCCTAACTGTTCTTGCTTTAGTACGCAATGTGCCGAGGTTTTTCATTAGCCGTCCGTCCCACAAAAACACCTGGTTGATTCTACGTTTTCGTAAACCTCCAGGACACGGTCTTGTTCTAGGGATACCATACCGTTCAAGACCGTATGCAAGACAAGGCGTTTTTAACTGAGGGTTCATTCGGCGCAGCAAAGGCTTTCGTCACACGCTTTCCTAACTATGATCATCTGGCGACACTTTAAACGCCGCCAGTCAGTTTATAACAGTTAGTGTGTAAAAGGGGGGACCTACACAGGAGGCAGGGAGTTGTGAAACGAACCTCTCATATGTTAAGCTGAGCAGCAACTTCATCACAATAGAGGATAGGAACTGAGGATCTTGTGGAGCTGACTGACTGTTACATCCTGGAGGGCATACCAGATCCGTTTTACAGTAGAGCCTTCCAGATATCCTAATTCAATTTATACGAGTGTTCAGAGTATCGAGGGGACGTTCTTTCTAACACAGTGTCGGTTTTTTATATGTTAGATAGAATTTTAAGGTCGTGCTACAAGGCTAGAACTAGAGCCTAGAGCTCTGGTGGAAACCTGTGATGGATCTGTTTTGATGATGTGCCCGTTGCGTGATATTGCGCTTTATCAAACGACAGTTGGCGAATTCACGAGTATCAAACGCAACAGACAGAGCTCCTCCGAAAGTGCACATGTCCTCAAGGCCAAAAACCACAAACAAGCAAAGTTGAAAACACTCCTTCTAACAAGCCAATAGTTATCACAAGGTCAGACACAGTAAACCAAGTAATAGTAGTGAACTGAGTCGATTGGGATGGTGGGAGCGTGATGGCTCAGTGGTTTGAGCACGAATTTACTGACCGGAAGGTCCGCATGTCGACCTTCCCTGTCTAGGTTTGGGCAACCTGGCAGTATCCCAACCCTCGTGTTTTCTTTCGGGTGGCATGGCAGCTGGGCACGGAAAGGTGCTATTGCTGATCGTTTTTTTCCACGCTGAGTAGCATGTACATGTCATAGTTTAACGCCTCGCCTAACCAAGTGGTTCCAGTTATGCACTGTTGACCAATCACCGAATGAATTTCTACCAGTTCATAAGGGCTCTGTAGCTTCTAACACAGGCTCTGCTAATCAACCCCCCCACGAAACGTAGTTAACCAGTCAGGTGACGCAGACATATCACCCATCTGGTAGAATGTATTGGCATGGGGGGGCACAGTCGGTTTTTCTATCCGTCTTATCTCCTAGATCTACAGCTGACACTATTACGAACATAAACTCTCACCCTCCTGTTAAAAATTGGGCTGTCTTGTCCATCTTGACGCAGCATTACCTCCACCCCGTCTGCTGCTCCACCTCACACCGCTGTTCCCAGATTGCTTTAGTTTGTTCTAGATTATCGTGGGCATACTGTAAGGTACAATTCGATTGATAAAGACCTTCGGAAAGGTTGGGAACGTTGTGATGAACTTGACTTTGGTCTATTTGGGCCGTTGCTTTTACCAAATACTTTATCGTAGGGGAAAAAGTCGCAGCTGTCCCTCTGCAGAGTGACCAAACTCCCATGTGTACGCACCGTTTGAATCTGTGTGCATAGCAATACTCCGGGTAGCTGTTTTCCATGAGATCCGTGGTTTTAATTTAGTCCTAATTTTGTCTAGGATAGGGAGCTCTCATGCGTTTTTCTGGTTGAATGACAGCCATGGATCAAAAGGCTATTGCAGCCTTTTGGTTTTGGACTGTAGCTGGTGATCACCGGCGCATCCTTCCAGGGAAATGTACCACCGGATCGACAAATAGTTTCATCTGTAGTACCGGGAATCGGATTTCTCAACGCGCTCACTCAAATTTCGGCACTTTGATCCTCAAGTGGAGGGATCAGTTTTCGGCCTCAGTAATCCGGGTTTCGAATTGAACCTGAATGTATCTTTCGCCCTGTCCTACGGAGCAGCAAACTCACAATCGCTTGGAGCTGTCTGATACGGACAACCATACAGTAGATACTTTACCCTGCCATGCTATACTACACTGTATCAGGGGGTTTAGCATACTTGTTATTATACCGCCTAGCTATTTTCCGACGCCGCCATACTTAGCAAACTGTTTACTGAGGCTTTGGCCTTCTGGTTTCTACAAGGCCAAGCGAAACTAATCCTGACAAAGTTCAACCAACCGGAAACTAGGGGTTTTATAGCAACCGAAGCGGAAAACGGGATACTATTCTTTTTGGATTATTTTTAATGAGGGTGTCCAATGTTTGGGTGCTTCGCCTGCCAGTTTAGACACGTTTTTTCCAGGTCTTTGTTCTTGACATTCGTATCCCTTTGGCGCGGCATCAACTCATCCCTTTAGAGGACGGTGTATTGCTGACAATTACAGGAGAGTTTAACCGTCAAAATTCTCTCTCCCAGTCTGATTTTTCGTTGCAGTTTACCTTCGTTTGTTTACGCACTTGCTGCATGGCACCTGGATTCTTTGTCTTATTGGAATGAGTCCGTCAAAGTGTAGTCTGAGCGATTTTCATTGGTGTGCGAGGTAGGCAATATCGTCTCGTCTGGACTATGGTGTCGACCGCTTTGTTTCCGAAAGATTAGTCGCCGGTGGATGTCTCTCACATATGCCTACTGAGTCAGACGACGTTTTTTTCAAGTAAAACTTATCCATATTGTGTTTTCCAGTTCTGTGTCAGAAGGTGGACTGACACACCATTCCGCATCAACAGAACCGAACTTTTCGCCCGTCTTTGTTGGCATGTATCACAGGAACATACACATCCGCCGCTGAATGCCCTTTACTCCGGCTCGTTTTTCGTAATCATGGATTTTCTGTGACATCCGTCAAAGCAAGTAAACCCGGAACTGTCACTGTCCGTAGGTCGCTATGCTTTACGAACAATCATGTTCACGATAGGCATCACTTTGACCTCATTTAAACAAAAACAAGGTTTTTAGCACGCATTATCTATCTGGCAAGCGCATAGACCTTGGTGCAACCTGATGCTCACTTGCTTGCTGGTTGATGCTCGAACAGTCTCGAGCCGTCGGATGAAAGAATAAGACGGTTTTTGCAACTCGAGTGGATTTCCCCAGTCGGAAATGTCACACAAAAACCGGGGAACATGCTTACCAGGATAAGTTGCGGATGTAGTCAGTGAATACGTAGGATTTTCAAGATGCCAAAATATTCTCGTGCTAATGTTGGAGTCCATCGTGTGAGTCTAGGTGGGTAGTCAGACCAAATAGCAACTCTTTTTAACATGCAATGAATGTTTTTGAAAGTGATGGTGGTAGTTGAAGTGATTTGTTCCTGTAAGTGAAGCCAATCTATACCGAAAAACCAAAAAAACACTGTGCAGTTATTTCATCCTTATTGGCATTCAATAACTGTGCGCATCTCACCGAAATCTAGAAGGCCTCCAGCCCGCGACCTCTCGGTTAGTAGTTTAAACACTTAACCGTAGGACCACAAGTGGCTGATCAGCAGTGTGATTCATGCGCGCTTAGACAGAATATAGCACCGTTCATCCTTCAGTCACGGCATCCACATCACATTGTCACACATGTTGACTGCTACCTCGAGCAACGACTTGTCCGATGGAAATTTTGCTCATCGGGCGCGTTTTTCTCACTCTGATCTACTTGTGGATTGTAGGTAGTGGGAACAGATTTGGGGATTTTTATCCTGGAAGTGAGGCCAATTGTCTTCTTGTCTTTCGACGGTCGGTTTTTTAGGAACTGTATTCGAAACGAACAGGAAACTTGTTAAATAAATAACGACATCTCACTGTAAACTACAGACATGTTTTGCTGTGCCTAATATACGTTGCCTCACTCAACTGTATTTTTCCTTAGTATCCTTGGTCCTGCCCACCGAGAGATTCGACTCAAATGAGTCCGTAATCAGCCCACTTGCCAATGGTCACCACGCTTGCCTAACTGCTTGTTCCAAGTTACCCACCATCAACGCGAATTATTTTACCCACTGGAAAAAGGAGAAAATTCGGGAATCTGTGGAAGAGGAACCACCAATTGATCAAGAGTTGAATGATGTGGAATACACGGATTCTAAAGGACTTTCATCATCATGCATGTCTACCGCTGCTACTGCCAGTGAATTTCACCCGTGCTGGCGGAGAAAGAGACGTTTTAATTCCAATCAATCGCCAGATGGTAAGCACTCTGGATGACTACTTTTAGAACCTTACTGTAATACCATTCTCGAATTCCTTCATTCCTTTCTCCATAGGCATTCTTGTTTCGGCGTGCTTCCATGGTTCGCTGAATCGTGTGGTCGATCCGTATTCTTAGTGCAGTCAGGATTGGTATTGTGCAGTTTGAAGGATGGACCAATCTGTTCGTCGAGCTTGGAAGTTAGATTGCAAATGTTTGGCGATGAAACGTTTGCAATCCAACTGCCAAGCTCAGCGAACAGACCAATCAACGCACCCGAGTTACCTACGTTTCACAACATTGCAGATGGGCCCTTATCATTAATCCCCACGCTAGTTCGTGCCTGATAGCCAGAACTTGTTGTCTTCCTCTCTGAGGAACGGTCTCTCCGAGGGGCTCAGTGTAATTGATGAATCATCTGCGAGGCTGCATCTTAGCAACCGTTAAGAGCAAGTCTTCTTATGGTCCTGAAATGCGTGTAAGGTCGTTTTGTCGCTGACCTAGAATCATCTGTTTTAACAGAACCATAAAATACACAGAGCTCTGGATGTTGAGGTATGCAGTGCAGAGCAACTGAAAATGAATGAGACTGGCCATGGACACATCACGTGATTTAAGCCTTATAGCTATAACAGAGAGGTAGTAATTGTTCAAGGAAGTTCTTTAGCTGGTGTTGCGTTGCTGACACAACCCATTTAGTTGTAGTTGGTTGAGGGATTTGTGGAATT